TCGTATTTTGCCTCTCTGCTCCCTACCGCAGGGACACGCTGTGGTGATGCAGAATTTCATCCTCCGGAGCTACGACAGACGAAGCGGCGTTACCGACAGTAAGGTGTCGGCAGGTCCGTCCCCAGCTGGAATGAAATTATTCCCAATGACAGCTGCAATACAAATGGTTCCTGTACTGCAGGGAAAATAGGGAAATAATGGGTAAAGTGGATTTTATCCCACCTGAATTCAGGCCTCTACGGTAACACATAGACCCAAACTCTGCTATCGCGACTGCTGCCATCAGTGGGGAAGGGCAAAGCAGAGGAAGGTACCTGCGGAGGTACAGACAGAAGGACAGAAAGATGGAAACGGAGATAAAGTTTTAAGCCTAAGGCTGATGATGGGCAGGGTTCATCACACCCAAACATCTATTTCCCAGGGATCGTCCCCCACACGGGATGATGCAGGGCAGCAGAGGCACAGCTCTGCACAGCCGCTCGCCTACAGCAAGGTATAAAAAAAATCCTGTGCTTGGAATTTAGAGAATTAGCAACCAGAGTCCCTTCTCACTCCCTTGTCTCTCTGTAGGAAGTTAAATCTGTTTGCTCTTTTTCCCCGCTTTTAGCTGGGCAGGACCAGCACAACTGGGGGCAGCAGCAACTCTGCTTTTGTTTCAGCCACAAACACTCACCCAGGGATGCATACCATCATCAGCATCGTCATTGAGACACGACAAAATGAACTGATTCCAGGGGAAACTGGTATCGGCAAGCAGGGAAGAAAAGAAAAAAAAAAAATCATGCTTGTGAACAGAGCAGATTGGATCTCAAAATCACAGAGTGGCAGTAAACCAGGCACGATACGGGTATTTTTATGGTCACTTTTTAATGCAGAGCAGCGCTGGAGGAGAACACCGGCGGCGGTGTTGCAGCCCAGCACGGGCTGTCCCCAGCATCGCCGTCCCCAGCATCACCATCCCCAGCATCGCCGTCCCCAGCACCGCCATCCCCAGCACCACCGTCCCCAGCATCGCCGTCCCCAGCACCGCCGTCCCCAGCATCGCCGTCCCCAGCATCGCTGTCCCCAGCATCGCTGTCCCCAGCATCACCGTCCCCAGCGAAGGTCGGGTGCAGCCAGACCTCCAGCCACGACAGATGATGCTCTCAGCAAATCCACTTGACTCCTGCTGGGTTAATATGAACCATTTCTGATAACTTTCTATGTGGGATTGAGTCAGATTTGGACGATGGCATACATATCCTGACATCAGGCAAGCAGCGACGGCCAGGCTCTGCTGTTCACAGCAAACAACCCTGTAGCATGTTCAGTGCAGCACCGCCATCCCCAGCATCACCGTCCCCAGCATCGCCGTCCCCAGCATCGCCGTCCCCAGCATCGCCGTCCCCAGCACCGCCATCCCCAGCATCACCGTCCCCAGCATCACCGTCCCCAGCATCACCGTCCCCAGCACCGCCATCCCCAGCATCGCCGTCCCCAGCATCGCTGTCCCCAGCATCGCTGTCCCCAGCATCACCGTCCCCAGCGAAGGTCGGGTGCAGCCAGACCTCCAGCCACGACAGATGATGCTCTCAGCAAATCCACTTGACTCCTGCTGGGTTAATATGAACCATTTCTGATAACTTTCTATGTGGGATTGAGTCAGATTTGGACGATGGCATACATATCCTGACATCAGGCAAGCAGCGACGGCCAGGCTCTGCTGTTCACAGCAAACAACCCTGTAGCATGTTCAGTGCAGGACAGCTTTTTGGTGACAGCCCTACAAAGACTGTATGGGAAGGGCTGAAATATTTTTCAAGGGAAATCAAAAGAAAAAATAAATACAGCAATGAAATTATTTCCTATTCTGTATTTCCAAACCTCACCCAAGTGCCCGACCCGAGCCTCTGCAGCCAGACTCTGTAAGCATCCTTTGGCTATGGGATTAACCTCCGTTCGCCTTTAAATTTAAATTACTGCTGAAGTCGCCGATTCAGCGGGAGATTTTAGAGCCGCTATTTATTATTTGTGCAGCCACAGCTCCAGGCAGCCCCTTGCCGTCCCAGATAGGCGATGGGACACACAACCCCAGGGCATGGAGCTGGTGCTTGGAGTACACGGGGTGGGTTTAGGAACCATCTCCTAACGACTCAATCGAAGCCCCAGGAGCGGATGCAGGCAGCAAAACCCCGGCTCTTGCCAGGAGCTGGGGGTGTTAAAGGATTTGCTGCACACACCCGGTATTTAGTGCAAGACACGAAGCACTGGCCAGGCACGAGCATCTCCTCTGCGGCTGCATCCCTCCTCCTCCGGGGCTGGGGCAATCCCGCTCCATCACTGATGATGGATGAAAGCCCAATTAGTCCAAAAGCAAGATTTTTTTTTTTTTTTAACTCTTAACTCTTTTTTAATCTCAAAACCTTTCCAAGGTTAATTATAACAACACTCGTGATCCCACATTGCCCCAGGACATTTTCTTTAGGAAATGCAAGCGTGAAATGCAGAAACAAGAAAAAGAAAGGGAGATTTCTTCCTTTCAGCGAAGCCACGGTGTAACAGGACAGAACGGAGCTGGGCAGCTCGCCTGCATCCCTCCTTAAAACCACCACTCCAGATATTTTTGGCGGAAACCTCCAAAGAGTCTATTTGTGGTCTATTACGGTCTGAAGTCCATTTACTCACTACCAAAGGGCTTAGGTATCCTCCAGCTCCTTTTTTACATTTTTACAGCAGGTTTCACACTCGAGAGGGATTCAAAGCTCTTTATGGGCAAACGTGGTTTCCCAGATGGTTTTGCTTTTTTCTTTCAAAAAAGAAAAAGAAATAGATCTATATTCCAACTGTGCACCACCTGCTGAGACACAGACCTTGGAGCCTGAACTAGAGACAACCCCACGCTGTGAGAGGTAAGAAAAGGTGCAATTAAACTTTTGCTTGGTCCCCCACCACCCCTCAGCTCTCTG